GTCACAAAATCCTGAATCTACAAGGGTTTAGTTTGTCATGAATAGCATTTTTTAAATTTTAATAACTTGGTGGTAAATGCCCCCCAGTTAACTAGTTCTTAAATTCTGTGCTGTATTTACAAATTAAATGTATTAGTGTTTGTGACTCTTGGTTATCATCGTTTTATTAATTGAGCCAAAAGTAGGGAAAGAAGACTTAGTTTTTAAGTTCATATGGAGCTTATACAGTCCAGTAGTGGAACACATAGAGAATAAATGCCTAACTGAATTGAAGTTCTGTCAAATACCTCAAAGGAAATTAAAGATGAAATTAGAATTTTAACAGAAGAGTTTTAACTGGTAGGATGACAAAGCAAAACCTGAAGAAACAGTTAACTAGAAGAAGGACAATTCAGGCAAAGTCTCCATATCCTGATAAGGAAAATGAGGTCTGGGAGGCTAAGCAAGTTATAACCTGATAATGAAAAAAATTCAGGTCTCCTGGCTCCCAGGATAAAATTCTTTTCACTGTCCTGTTTAAAATAATCTCACCACATCAATGCAATGTTTTCTGAGTACTAAGGTTTTAGATATATTAAATACTTCAAAAAAGTAAATGAGCAGAGATAATTCCATTACTGTACAGTTTTATTGAGTTTTCGCTCATTGTCACAGCTGAAGACCATGGAAAAGAATGAGAAAATTCATTTTTAAGGGTCAGTTTTTATTTGCTTTACCTATTTAAATCAGTTCTTGGTTTTAAAATAAAAATAATTTATATAATATTTCCTTTTTGAAAAAAACTAATAAAACTTGAATTTGGACATAGAATAAAAATATTCACATGCCTATACCAGAAACAATCTGAAAGTTATGCTTCCATCAGCATATTATTTACTATTAGAGGGTACTCTTATCAATGAATTTGACAATTTCCTTTGCTGTAGATTTTGAACATTTTCATTTTGCTTTAAAATATATAATTAAATGCAAAAACTTTTGGGGCTAAGAAATCTCTATTTCACCTATGTGCAATAGGACAGATCAAGTATGATTAGCCAGAGACTCTAGAAATGTTACTGGTATCAGATCTGCAAGGACAACTTTTCTAATTTTGTGTTCCAAGTCTGTCCTAGAAACATTTAGTCGAAATCGAGGGGAGTCTTTGAATCAATTAATTACAGAAAAAAAATCAATGAATTACAAAAAGTAACTTTTAAAATCTTGTTATTTCAATGCAAGTCTATCTAACCAAAGATATGACAGGGCTTATTCTTTTACTCCTTTATACTGCCTGCTCTTCTGTTTCATGCAAATAGTAGTTTTGAAATTCTAAATATTTACAGTTTTACCTAATGTCACACTTATAAATACAGGATACATAGAGAATCTGAAATGAAAAATATAACAGGTATATAGCTTTCAATATGTGGTAGGCCTTACTCTCTATGTTTTAATGAATACTAACACATTTAAGTATCACACTAACCCATTAGGGGAATGTTTATCCTCATGTTGTAAATGAGAAAATCAATGCATAAATAGTTTAATAAAATTTGCCCCTATCCTACAGATTGTAGGGAGTAGAATGGAGGCATAGTTCATGAAGTCATGTCTTAAAATCAACCTCCACATACAAATCTGGACTCAAAAATTTACTAGTGGTGAGAGCTTGGATTATCTAGTTCTCCTGTCTGAAAATCAATTTCTTCATCTGTAAAATAGGAATTACAGTACCTACCTCATAGGATTACTGTGAGGACTGATTGTGATAGTCTATGGAAGGCACCTTAGCAGAGTAGTTAATATAATGTAAATACTCTAAGTACTTGTCTTTGCACAAGTATTGTTACTATCTTCTTATAGATTGGTGTATGTCCTCATCAGCTCTCTGTTCAGTCATGCACAGAAAGATACCTATATGTCCTCCAAGAGATCTTGGTGTAGTAAGTGATCAGAATTCAGAATATGTTTATCCTTAGGTTGAAGTCATAAGACAAAGTGATTTTCAGTAACTTATTAAATGAAAACAGCAAAAAAACACTTCTGTTGATTGACCTAAAGTAATTTCAAGTGTTGAAGGATTCCTAAAAGATTAAACTATTGATTTATTCTCTTGCCTCAGATACCTTCTTTGCATCCTCAGCAAGGAAATATAGTTATAATCTTTATGAAGGAGACATGCTCATTATCCTTTCTGTGGGATTATTTCTTACATGGATTTGGAGATGGCTTGCAATGCTGTGTGGTAGAGAAAGTAAGAAAATAAAATACAACAATAGCAATCAAGGAGAACATGAGGAGAAATAAGATCTTTTTCACAAAAAGGTCTTTGTTCCAGTGGTTGTGGAGGTCATCAGGGAGATAACAGTACAGAATGCAGACTAATATTTGATTCTCCTAGCACAGACAAGTAGAAAGGACGGCAGTATCAGAAGGATAAGAGAAATAAAAGATGTACATTAATGTATTTTCTTGGGAGTATGCTGAAAGTGTTCTGTCTAATCTTAAATGTCAAATTTGAAGATTAAGATTGAGAATCACCAACTATATGTAGATGTTCTAGGGAATGGTTGACACTTCCTGGCAGAGAAGTCTATCAGCTCTTACCTGAGAATCTTGTATTCGGTATACTTTTTTTTTTTATTAATGGAATATTTATAGGGACCTATCCTGCTTGTCCCTCAAAGAAAAGGGAAAAAGAGAAGCCCAGCCCTTACATAGAACTTCTCTTTTCTTTAAGAGTGGATGGTCAACATTCCTTTAGGCTGGTTCAATCTAACTTCAATTATAACTTACAGAAAGTGGTGAGAGATGGAAGCAGCATACATTTTCCTGGTTTCAGTATTCTTGCAGCTCTACTCCAAACTTTGGGAAAGGTGAACATATTGCTGAGCTATTATTTAAATTGCCTATAGTTTAACCTATGCAACTGCTTTATTTCAGTCACACAGATGTACTATTCTGATTTTTTTTACCTCCTACCATATAATCAATAATAAGACATTATTCATATTTCAACACCTATGTGAAGTCAAGTTTCCAAGTTTGCCACAAATCTGGGGGTCATCCTGCTGACCAGACTTTAGCCCTTGCATTGAGAGTCTCCTTTGTTAAAATATTTAATATAAAGTTGCTTTCCTAGTGTTTCCCTGATCCTAAATTGTCAAAATAAGTTTTGTAAGAAATGTATTTTATGTGGAATTGCTCAAGGAATTTACCCTTTTCTGTCCTATAGGCAAAATTATTTCTTTAATCAATTTTGAAATCAGAGATAAATGAATAGGCTGTAAAAAACATTCAATGACTTTGCAAGGTTATAGTAATAAAAATAAAGAGCTTCAGTTTACAAATTCCATAATTTGACCAACTCTAAATTATAAATGCCAATTCTTATCCTTCAAATACAAACTCACCAAGGGAATATCAATGGAAAACAATTACTAGGTGGATTTTTGTGCTCTGGTTCCATACAAAAAATACGTTTAGTGTTTTCAAATCAATGCTGGAGGAAATGTCAAGACAGGGGTACACATTTACTCATTTTGCAGAGATGTCCAAAGCTATTAAGTTTCTGCACTTTAATTAGAAAAGCAATGCAAAATTATTCTCTTGCTCAACTGTAGGAAATTCAAGGTATTTGGTATTGGAAAAGAGTCCTGAAATTATGAAATCTTATAGATCCACATGTATTTTTAGTATAATAGCAATGGTTACTAAAAATGCATTTCTATTTTTATGGCAATAGCTTGAATCTTTAAGCACAATCCCTAGGCATACAAAGATAATGGATATTGAAAGAGGAAGAAAATTAAAGGAAAATTAGGATGTTTAGGCAGCTTTAAAAATAGTATAGTTTAAATTTCGTTACACTGTGTATGAAACTGCTAGGTTTTAAGCTTGCTTTTAGGGTAGGGATTGCCATGGCTCTGAAGTATTTCTTAAAGATTACCACTAACAGATTGAGAAGCTTCCTGTTTGTTTAAATTACATTTCTTCCTTCCATATGCAATTATTTAAGAGTGAAACAGTATTCTGATGTTAAGTCACATTGAGAGAATTAATGCCTTAAGCCTCAGCCACTTGCAGTTAATGCTTAGATTATGAGTAGAGAAAGGGATATAGAATATTTTATGCCTCATAATAATAACCACTACTTTATTAAAATTTTCATTCTAATGTTGAGTCTTATACATGAGCAATAGAGATAAACAGAACCCTCTCAGCATCCATCTTTTCTTCCATATAATACAATGCCATCTGTGGCACTGTCCATAGGTTCTGGCTGGGATTTTTAACTTTTAATTGCAAATGTCAAAATGGTTATTGTAAAAAAGTAAACGGTATAAAATAACACTATTGCTTACAGGTATCCCTAACTCTTGCTACCAAGTACAAGCCTATTCCCTAGAATTCATTTTCATTAAGCAATCAATATGTATTGACCTTTACTAATAAATTTGTCTCTATACAGCTAAAAAAACTGAGTACATTTGCTTTGCAGAATTTTACATTCACTAGAATTTATTAAAATTCCTTCAAATTATGGGCCTCCCCGGTGGCGCAGCGGTTGAGCGCTGGGTTGCGAAGCTGCCCGCAGCCTCTGCCATGCCGGTTCGATCCCCGGCTGCTCCCCAGCCACCAGAGGAGGGTCCCACATGGCGCGCAGACCTCTCCTGCCGCCCGCTGCTCCCCTCAGCAGTGTACTTCGGTCCTTCTGCCTGTTCTGCATCCTGCTCTGACTCTGGTGAATTCTCTCACCCTCCCGCGCTTCTGACTATACCCAGTGCTTGTATAAATAAATAAATAAATAAATAAATAAACCTTTAAAAAAAAAAAACTAAACTTTAAAAAAAAAAAAAATTCCTTCAAATTAGAAATTGTTATACTACATTATCTTGAATGTAAGAAAATGGTTGGGATATAAGGGGTTCAAGGTGGTGGAATAGGGGGAACTATACTCACTTCTTCATGAACATGAAAAATCTACAACTAAATACGAATCATCTATCCAAAAACAGATCTGAAATCCAGAGAGGAGCTTCTACAAGAAAGACCAAGAAGGCAGCATCCAGATTGGTAGGAGACACAGAGACACATGCTTACATCTCTGAGGTATACAACTTTTCTTTGGGAATAGGGAGGAGGATTATACCCCATTCTCAGTATCCCAAGCCTCCTATCCAGCAATGCAGAGATGAGTCCCTGGAATCTGAACATTGAGTGTTAGAGGAAATTAAGCCCAGGAAAGCTGAGTAAAAAGAACAGTCTAGGTTCCAGGCTATAAAGAAGCCAAGTGTAGACTCACTTACCCTGGGACACAATGCAGCAACACTGACCTGAATAGCACCAGATACCATCCTACAGCTTTGGCCTGAGAAGCAACTTTCAGAACTATCGCTGGGTTGGAATCACTGGGAGGTACCACCTTGGCAACCTCAGTAATAACAGTATAGGTGGACACCATCTTGGAACCTATCCCCCATGCTACTATATCCTAAAGGTAACCCCTGACGAGAGATCCACCCACTCCTGTAAAGTAGCCTAGCTAGCTGAGACATCAATCAAGTGGGCTCACTCTTAGCAAACAAATAGGCCAAGCCTGTGCTAGCCTCTACCTTCCTGCTAGCAAGCAGATCACACCCCCACAGTCAGCAAGCCACCTCCTTCAGGCTGCCTAGTTAGCAAATGGACCACAATTCAAGCAGCCTCGCAAGGTACCATGGCCACTGCCACCAGCAGCCCAGCTATCCCCCACCAGCCAGATTACAAGACCCTGCATTGTTAACAAAGATGTACCTCTGCCCCAGGCAGCCTAGCATCACAACGTGTCTCACACAGCACAGCTGCCCCAGAGCAACTAACAGCCACATGTCAAGGCTGCATCCACAAGAGCGGCCAAGTCTAACCAACGTGAGATGAGAAATTACTATGAACAAGTACACACCAATAAATTCAATAACCTTAAAGAAAAAACGATAGCGTTGACAAAACTAATCATGATAATGAATATTGAAACAGTAATAAAAAATCTCCGCCAAAACAAAAAGCCCAGAGTCAGATATCTACAAGTGAATGTTATCAAGTCTTGAAGAAATTATGTCCATCCTGATTAAAGTAGTTTTAAAAATCCAAGAGGGAATGTTCACTAATAAATTTTGTAATACCAACATTACCCTGATACAAAAACCACATAGGCAGCACAAGAAATGAAAAACATGGACTAATTATTATTTAATAATACTAATAATTAACACTAATTAGTATTAATAACTATTAAAATACTTGATAATTTTGTGTTTATTAATGACTATTAAGTGAGCACATGTAATGACTTAGAGAAAACACTCATTAAATGTTAGCAATTGTTTTCTCAAAGTGAAATTGATAAAATTACACTTAATAGCTAAAGCACCTTTGCTTCAGATGTATTAAAAAAATCTACCTTAATATAGTACATTTATTAATGAAATATAACATGTTTAAAATGTGTACAAATAAGTATTTAAGTTATATTATTTTGCATTCTAGGGAAATCAGATTTAATAAGACAACAAATAGAATATTTTCTAGTTTGCTCTTATTTCAACTTTTTGTTTAAATAACTAGAACAGATGTATCAAAGCTTAAATAAAAGTATTTCTAATGCATGGGCAATATATCCATTTATGTCATTAGAGTACTTTAGGGCCATTATATCCTTTAATGTGAAAAGTTTATTATATTTGCTTTTTTCTTACCAGTAGTTTATATCAGAAAGCTGTTTCTTTACCTAGACCAAATTAAGCAGCTGTCATACTTATAAACTCATGTAACCAATTATACACCAAGCCAAAATATAATGACAGGAAATCAATCTAAAATTGTAGACAATATGGACTTAAAAAGTGACTGTTAGTGTTGAAGGACAAAAATTAATTTAAGAGGTAATTTAATACTTAAAACTAAACTAGTCATAACTGTAATTTAAGGAAAAAAAGTGTCCGATATATTCTCAATCTATAGTCAGCATCTATGGCTTATAAATCTTTGTACGCATGAAAATAACTTCCTTAGATGGCTAAACTACAAAATTTAATCCCTAGCTATTTAAATCTGGTGGTACTGAATTTTAATAACTTATAATTAAAGATAATCATCATGAAAAGTGTTATACTTCAATAGTATTGTTTTACATACACAGAGAACCCACACAGCAGTGTCTTAAATCCTGTTTCTGCTGCTTTTAAGTTATGTGAATATTTAGAAAATCACTTCATAATTCCATGTATGCTTTTTATCCAGAAAATGGAGATAACAGAACCTATTTCAGAGAAATCCACATAAAGTGCTAAAAGTGATAAAATAAACACTTCATTTATATTTGCATGTGTACTTCAGGATATTATTGTTTCTATTACTCTGACTATATCAATAACAGACCTACAGCAAAGATTTTAATTTAAATTGCTGATGATTTCATACAAATGTTTATTGCATGCTGAACTGATGTGCCCCAGTTAATGGTCAATATTCAACAATGCCCATAAGATCAATTATACTGCCAACCATTGGGACATTAGCATTCATGATTGTGAATTTTGGAAATCAAATTCTGAAATGTTTTGCAGAAAGTTCTAACTTTGAGACTGGACCAAGATGATATTCACTCCTGGGAGGATAATCTAAAAATTAACCCAGATTTGCACTAAACTCAGAGGGGCCTGTGGCTTGGAATGAAACTGGACACTGGCGACCAACATGAAACACACTGGAGGAGTACCTTGTGTCATTAAAAAAAAAAGAGGTAGGTGGAGAAAAACTCCTGGAGGCTGTGACCTGTGATCGAAGTCAAACTGCAGCACTGACTTGGAAGCACATACCCTTACTGAGAGGAAATATATATATATATATATATATATATATATATATATATATATATATACACACACACACACACACACAGAAGAGCTGGGTTGCTCCCAGTGGGCTAAGGTCCCCAGTGCAAAGAACAATGAGAGTATGCCAGGCTATGCTCCCCCTTCCCTACTCTTTGGGGCTGGTATTGATCTTATTAAGTGCCCTGACAACACACAGACTGTAGAGACTTAGGTCTGGAGCTCAAGAGAGGAGGGGTATTGGTGGTGCCCCAAATATGAGCCACCCCCTTTCCCCAATCAGCAGCTTCAAGTTCAGCTCTCCAGACTTATGGAAGGCAGAAAAGTCCAATTTCAAAAATTATATAAAGTTGGGGGGCTTCCCTGGTGGCGCAGGCAGTTGAGCTCAGCACTGTGAAGCTGTCTGCAGTCTCTGCAGCGCGGGTTCGACCCTGGCCAGCCCCGGGGAGAAACCTATATGGCATGGCAGACCTCTCCTGTCTTGCACATTGCGCAATGTATTTTGTCAGTCTGCCTGTTCTGTTCCCTTTTCTGTCTCTGGTGAATCTGCTCACCCTCCCATGCATCTGGCCTGTACCCTGGTTCTTGTATAAATAAATATGTCTTTAAAAAAAAATAAAGTTGGGAATAGCTAAAAACACAAAACCAAAATCACAGCTATGCCTATAGGAAAAGTAGAAGTATTAAAATTTCTTGCTTCTATGGATACTCAAATAAAAATAGAGAAATTTAAAGCAGCAAAATGGGCAGACCGAACAAGGAAAGAACAATACCTAGAATGGAACTGTAAAGATATGGATGATTTTTATCTTCTGCTCAGAGTTCAAAATTGCCATGATAAAGAAATTCAAAGATTTTATAGAAAACTCAGATAAACAGATGGCCTGACAAACAGAAAATAGAAACTGAGGCTTAGAATTAGAAAATAACAAAGGTGCAAGATGCCAATACATCAATAGATGTGGTAAAAAAAAAAAGTCTGGGAAATGCTATAGAAGAATAGGACAAACAGAAGATCCAATCACTGACCTTCAAGATGATAACACAAAGTGCCCAGATGGAAGAAAGAAATATAAATAAAAAAGCCAGATGTATGTATATATATATATATATATATATTCCCAAGGAAAGGGTGGATTATATATTATATATAAAAAGTCTGGCTTAATTTTTTTTCTTTATATATATAATAAATATATATATTTATATATATTATATATATAAGTTTATATAAATATAAAACATATATATATGATTTCATTAGGAAAGGGGAAATAATCCAAATGGGAAAATATCTCCTGTAGAGCTAAGTACTTTATCCAAAAGGTCCCTGCTAATTCATTAAAGTATTGTTAATAATAGTGAATCAATTTAGTGGGTTAATTTGGGACTGGAAACAACAAAGTTGAGTAATATGCTTATACTGTGAAACTGGGGGGATAGAGATAACTATTGATTCAAGAGACAACATTTCTGACCAGATCCCTTTTTTTGCTTTTCAGGTCAGGAAAAGTTCCCACTGCAGATTTTCAGATTTGAGAATACAAGTGGACATGGAGATGAAAATGTTGATAGCAGTGAAAAGTAGGTTTTGGTTGTCTGAAAGCATTTAAAGCTAAATGTATGGACATTATGAATATGAAGTTCTTTGTTGAGGCTATAGAAAGAGATTGATTCTCCTTAAATGAAAGTGTAAAGGGAATTGAGAACATTTCAAGAAAAAGCTACAGAGAGAGAAAGGGCAAAGAAAATGAAACCTGGAGAAACACAAAGGAAGAGTAGTCAGAGATACAGTTACTCTTTTCCATTATAAACATTGTAACAGGTGGTCTGTCAGTGGTTGAGGTCATCAGAGTTACCAAGGCATAGGTGTGACAAGATAAATCCACTCATTCAAGTAAAGTAAGAGAATAAGAGGAAAATGGAGAAATTTGCTTAGTGGTAAGACGGAATCTGGGCCAGCAGCACTCTTGGGGGTGGGGGGGTGCTGTGCTGGCTGCCAAGAACGAGTCTTCGGATTCTTGGTTATTGCAGCTGTTTGGGTGTTTAAAGTCAAACTCTAAGCAAAATCTGTGCCTTTGCTCCCTCTAGTAGTCTCAGATCCCAACAAGAAGGCCAGCAGTAGTGACTGGCAGGTAGTGGGGATGATAAATTAATGCATATGTGGATTGAAGCAGTTCTGTCCTATCTGCCAGCCATACTCTGCCTGTTCAGCAGCTGCCTGAAATAGCTGAAGAACTAAAGCTGGGGAAATGAACAATTTTATTCTTGAGTGTCAGAGATTCTCAAACATGGGATTACCTTGGGCTTTTATTTGTTAAAAATCTAATTTCTAGACCTCACCTCTAGATGGTCTTAGCCAACGAGTCTGCATTGAGCTAGACACTTGCATTCTGAAAAAGGTTAGGTGTTTCTGATGTTGGATTGTTCTTTGAACACAGTTTTAAAAATATAGCCTTAGCTACTAAGTGCTGAGAAAATCTTGCTGAAAAAACATACGCGCAAATATATCTGAGTAGATACATTCTTTCATGAGTTACAGAAACCACTTTTATTATTAATGTTTTACTACTGTATCATTTGCTTCAAAATACATGATTGGTATACTTACACTAACACAACCTTTTTGAAATTTAATGATATTAAGTGCTTTTAAATACACTATTGTTTTCTGTCCTAGAAAAAGATAACCAAAATTAATCACATTTTGAGAAGATTGAGGGTATCATAAATCACGACCCAAACACTCTCATATTTGCACTTTGATAGATTACTGAGGGGAGCATGTACAGGAGAAAAGGGCTCTCCACAGAGAATATTGCTTCAAATTTAAATCTAAGAATAGATGAGATCCCAGCCAGCTGCAACCAACATGACATGGAGTGGGGTATACAGTAGTTTCAAAAATAATTAGGTCCCCACACATTCAGAAAGCTATAAATAATAAACAAAACCTCAAATTGACTAAAGAAACAGAATTGGAGCTAACTTGAGAGCACAGGTGTTTTGTGTTTGGTATTACTCGCCTTGCCCATGAGGTAAGCAGACATACTCAATACAACTTAATGAATCTTCTGGGACCAACCCCCTCCCCCACCAATTCCCTCATAGGAAACCAGTGCAGGAAATGTCAAAGACAGGCTAACTGTAGTGTCACACATAGTTGAGAAAAAATATACACGCTTGAATACTATCAACTATAGAGACGGCATAATTCACTGTTAATAAGCTGGATCCATTAAGAACCTCACTTAGTATCCTCCAAATCACCAAACAAGATTGCTGCATGGACAGTCAGAGGTAAAGGATCACGCCTCTTCAGCTTTATGTTACCACGCCACACCCACAGCCTAGGCAAGCACAGTCCTTTACCATATTCATTGGGCCACTTCCTCCCCCTGCTATTCTCCTCCCTCTGGTAGCCTCATTTTTACAGTCAGGTATCTAGGGTTTCTTTTTGTCTGACCCTTGTTTTCTTTTTCTGTCTTCCACATATGCATGAAATAAGAATTTGTCTTTCTCCTCTCTGCTTCTGTGCCTCCTTTTGCTTACTGTTTCCTAACTATGCTTAGTTCTCTGAATTAGACAAATCCTCTTTCCAAAACTCAGTTGCAATTGCTAATAAGTTAAAAAAAAACAACATACAAACAGCACACCATACTTCTTTGATATGAATGATTAAAGAGACTTCAAAATAACTAAATATTATGAGTTTCCCCTGAGGTACTATCAGTGAATGCCTAACAGTACTGAATGGCACCCAGAGGTACAACATTACCCCGATCTATTATAAGGTTATCACTAAAGATGTCAGTGCATTATGCACAAATGCTAATTGATCTCATAAATTTAGAGCAGAATAGAGTCAATGGAGTTGATTTTCTACTACCTTTTCAATAAGATTCCCAAAAAAAGGGTGGATTAGTTGTGAAACCATGAAGTAACCTATTTGGCCAATTGCCAAACCAAAATTTATCTCATCACATAGATTTATTCACATGAAATGAAGTTTGAATATATATATCTACACATTTATATATTCATTTTTACTCAATTAACTAGGCAAAAACCAGCTGAATTAAGGTTCCATGGTGGTATGAGTATGTTTTTCTATTATCACTGCAACAGCAAAGGGGAATGTAAATATCTCCATGAGGAACATTTGGTGCTAAATAAAAGAATTAAAAATCTTTGCAATAATGCATGCTATATAAATGTTTTTCTCAGTAGTATGAAATTTGATGACTTAGAAGAAAAGCTTTCTAGGGGCAATGTGAAGTGAATGTATCTTTTGATTTTTATCAAATTTTAAATTCCCATACATAGATTGTCTTTGAAGAATTATTATGCTGTTAACAAAATGGTATAGCCACTGTTTTTGAGGTAAGTTTTAAAATGAGTTTTGCCAAAAGAAATCTTAAACAAGGCAAATAAATGGTCACCTAATAGTTTTGTAGTATTTTGGAAAATGTAGTTCTTGTGGAGTGTTTGGTTCATAGTAACATATCACCAAAAATAAAGATGAAGCTACATTGTGAATTTTTTACACCCAAGACAAATAGTTACCTCCACTTATATTACTTCATTGGATTACCTGAACCATATGGCTTCAAGTCTCATAAGAATTTTGAAAGTTAATAAAAATAGCTTGTTGAAAAAAATTTGTATGGAGATTGTGATGAACCATTAAATTTTATAACTTTACATATTGTATGCACTTTAAAAAAAACACAAAAAAATATCATCTTGGGGTAAACCCTAATTCCTAGATAATAGGAATTCCTTGGAAGGTAAAAATGCTAAGTATTGGGAAAATAAGAATTATTCTGTCAGAGTAAAAATATGTATGTATATATATACATATGCACATTAAAAATTGGGTTAAGTGTGAATAATATTTTAACACTTAAATAATAAATGGTCTGATGGAATAGTTTCCTATCACATCTTGGTGGTGGGCATGGAATGGTAACAATGGTTTATATCACATCAACAGTGATATAAACCAAAATTACTGCAATCACAAAAAAGTTTCCTATCACTAACACAGTTAACTCTATGAAGGAACAAAATTTTTCCATATATATATTAAACATTTTTTGTGTACCAAGGGCCGGACTAGTGGTGGGTGTTATACAGGAACCAGCATGTGTCTTCTTTGAATCATTTCTAGTTAGGAAACGTGTTCCATGGTCAATAAATACACCACAAAAGTTTTCTGCTAGGTGCTTTGAGCAAGCAGGACTGACATTGTGGGACCAGTCCCTCTACAAATGTAACAAATGAAGTGTGAGCTATAGGCATTGCTTGTCAGGAGGTTACAATTTATTTGAAAAGAAGATGTACTCACATAACACGGTACCGACAACGATCAGTGATATTTAACCAAATGACAAAGACTGCTTATATAGTTCAGGAAAGAGAAGAAACAATATTATACAGTTGTAATAGGTTAACCTGATGGTAAGTAAGTCTCCTGAAATTGGTATCCTTTCCTCTGACCTTTAACCACCTCAGAATGGGTTTTATTTTGTTCTTATATTTTTATATTTTAACAATGTCTGGATAATCTTCCAACAGAGATTATCTTTTTTATATATGGTATGGATGTTATTAATATCAGCTATGATTAGTAGTATTTCAATGATGGAGTGGGATTTGACACAGAATGACTTTTGCCTGGTGCTGATTTGTGCTGAATTTAAATGATAAATGCTGACTATCAATTCAACATGCCGTATTTTGATATTATGACTTTATGCTCTATTTAGCCATTTCAAAGTACTTTAGTGTTCCAAAAAGGTTAATTTTAAAATGAATTAAAATATAACCACTAAATTATTTTTGATATAAATTTATAAGTAAAAAATGCATGATGTAAATTATACTATCATTGTAAATGACATAATTTTTTGCTGCATATAAGCTAAAATTTCCACTGACTATCCCATTTATATGATGATTTCCATAGCGAAGTAAAATGCATGAATTCCCCATTTCAGAGGCATTCAGCTATAGTAACTGAAAAAAATCCTATTCATTTAAGGTCATTCTTGCCTGTTGTAGAGCTCTGAAAGCTGTTGCTCTGAAGGCCTGAATGCTATCTCTTGAATTAAGATGATCCCTTGAGGAATGGGGCTTTTATATACTATGTTTTACATTTAAAGAAGGATATTTCTCTGAGGATATAAGTTCAATTTCTTGCCAAACTTTAAATTCAATTTAACCTCTTATTTTGCAATTCTTCTTTATCTCGATTCATTTTCAATTGCAATGCACTTAAATATTTGAAATTTTCTATGTAAATTATAAATTGACTTCATTGACGTAATTACTCTAAATCTCTTCATCTTTGATGCTGAAACAATTCAAGCATCATTTCATATTATTAGCACAATTTCTATTCTTTCTAAACCTCAGAAATAGAGGTAAAATATTTAACATTTAATTCTGAAGCATGATACAAGCTTTCGAGTACAACTACTCTTTAAAAGGTTTACCATTGATTCAAAATTTGGCACAAGAATGCCTCAATGATTTCATCAGTAAAAATGCAAATAGACCACCAATACAAAATATAGTATTATATCAAAATGAAATTTAAAAAACAGAGTAACAGAAAACTAGTTTTTCCTTATGTTGTTACTATGACCAATTTTAATAAAATTTCACAAAATTGAAAATAAACAAATGGTAAAATCAAACACTATAGGGTTTTTTTAATATGTTGTTGTTTTAGCTAATAGAAAGAGATGAGATATTAGAGTGTTTCCAAAATATGCTCCTTTGAATGTCCATATGTATTAGAGAAATGGATTACATATTTATAAAATGGATTACATATTTTCAGTCACAGATCAGAAAACAAGTAAATATGGATTAAAAATTAAGGTAGGAGAACTGTTGGTTTCCCTCTCCTTATGTACGGAATTTGGGAGTTGCCACAATATCATAAGTAAAAAGTTGAACAGGAAA